CTAAGTTTTCCCTGAACGTGCTACTGTGTACGAGGGCCGCAGCCCTGGGGAACGTGGTCTTGTTTATGTTGGCGAGTTCCCTCAGCGGCGCTGACAGTAGAATGATGCTTGAGGTCAAACCAAACGGGAGACGACTGAAAAGATACGTCGCTACTTCATCAGTCGTGTTGTGGTTTCCCTCATTGTCTAGTGTTACATTGTACCAGAAGAATCTTGTCAGATCCCTGTCCTTGGTGTCTAAGACCTGGTTGATATCGCCGATAAGTGCCACTGGATATAGCTAGAATCGTAGGAGGACTGCAAATATCTCAGGGAGGAGGTTTCCCTCATTGTGTAGTGTTACATTGTACCAGAAGAATCTAGTCAGATCCCTGTCCTTGGTGTCTAAGACCTGGTTGATATCGCCGATAAGTGCCACTGGATATAGCTAGAATCGTAGGAGAACTGCAAATATCTCAGGGAGGAAGTTTTGTCCCATCTCCAGCACCTCATTGAGAGAGGGTTCGTTGTCTTCGTGCGAGGACGCGTCGAACACAATTCTCCATTTAATGTTCCCATGTTTCTCCTTGTCCACAGCTTGATGAGCCAGATAAAATGTATCTGGATTCCCTTCCGTTAAGGCTATTTCCACTTGCCCCTTCTGGACGTCGTCCAGCATCTGAGCGTAATATAGCTTCTGCAAAGACTCATTCTTTTGTAATCTCTTTTGTAACGAAGCGAACCGCTTCTCGGCGATTATTGGACAAAATGATGTTCTGTTTCTTGGGGAGGGAGACTACTCTTCGGTGATCTTCTGTGCGATACGAGTCGTGAAATTCTGTTTAGCTGTTTTGCCTATATTATCAAGTGCCCAAAAGTATCTAAACGCGTCATCAGGGGGGTAAGAATGTTTGGTCCAAGTTGATGTAGTTCACCACCGTTGAATTCACTGTGATGCCCGATCGGTTACCGCTCAATATCCAACCCAACCTAGACGGGAGTAGTACCGTTGAAGTGGATATTTGTATCGGTGAACTGTCCTTCACAATTTTATAACATTAATCACCTCTGATCAGAACCTGAATTGGCAGGTCTTCTTCCGGATCTGCTAATTATAACTTACGCGTATGCACCAGCATCTTGACGTCATGAGGGACAGCTGGTTGTCGGTTAAAAGAGTGAGTGCTCTCGAGCGCGGTAACACATGTAGTGGAATTCGTCCAAATTCCTCGTAGGTCGAGTCGAACAAGTCTGCGCTGGCTCGGGATGGCAGTAGATTCAAATGCACTAATCGCCATGTCTCTGTGATGTACAGTGAAACCTCGATGCGTCGTTTTTGGTGGGGGTGGAAAATAAAAACGATGAATACTGGAAAGCGTTAAAAATTAAAAAAAACACGAATGTTTCACTGTTAAAGTTACATCTTTTTACCATAAGATATTGTAAATGCGTCATATTGTGATTATATATTATTAAAATATTTATTAAAACCTTTTGCCGTCAATCACAAATATAATATTGTTAAAAGATTAAAACATCATTTAACGTTTCCTATCGAGTACTCGATTACATTGGAAACTTACACGACTAGTTTCGGCTATAATTTAGCCATCAACGGGTGTTATGTAGTTTAAACTTATTACATGAATT